ACGCGATACGACTCCGGGTCGATTGCATACCTGCCCGGAACCTCTGCAGACAGAAGTGTCTTTGCGCCAGCGTACATCTTAGACTACGGCAACCGGGAGTTCACCTGGATACATAAAATCTATTTCAAAATGCATATTTCAGTCAACGATTTTTTTTCGATCATTCAACCGATTCTGCAATATTTATCCATCATCATGAGTAACTGAGATGATCGATGATTCGATGTACTTTGCACAGATGAATATGATCTGGAACACATTGTGTCTCCATATTTCTGATTATTATAGTGTGATCTATTATTTACTGTTCTACTCATAAGTGATTTAAAAAGAAAACACCTACACTAATGTGTGTTTCTTTTCTGCTATTGTCACACTTTAAATATGACAAACCCACGTATATCCAGACAAGCAAATCGTACACATATCATGACTGATCTGCTCGCTCTAAAGCTCTCTCCTATGCTTCCTTAGTACAACCTCATGTTTTAGCCCATTCCTCTAGTGGAGTTAGGTATGTCTGTATCAGAGGTGAACTCCCTGGTGCCGTATCTGACGCCTTCGCTGCGGCCAAACACTTCCGTCTGCAGAGGGTTCGGGGCAGGGTATGCCATCGACCCGGAGCGTATCGCTGTTCCGGGGACAGCGCCGAGAGAAGACCTAGTTGGCGTGCAAGTGATCAGAACAGAAAAAATCGTGTTGTAACAATATGCATTTTAAAAAAAGGAGTCCAGATTTCATCTCTAGTCAAGCTCAATATAGCGAAGGTGAGACTACAGACGAGAGTATTTTGTGAAGCATCTCTTCCATCTCGATAGGTAAAGTCAGAAACAAATAATCATCCATTTCCATGCACGGATAGGAACAATTACATTGTCTAAACAGAAGACAGCTCTGATATGTATTATTGCGCTATATATGAAGTATCACAAGCTCTCCATTTCTGACACTGATAATCAGAGCTAAAAGCATATAAACTGATCTCACACACGGACAAATAGACACTCTCGAAAGGCGTGCTGAGGGTAGCATAATATCGACCTGTGTCTTTATTTTCTGTTCTGTGCATTATTCTCAATAGTGCTCGCTGAATCTCTATAGTTACATCTCCAAAGTCACGCTAGTATTAGTTCTCGCTTCTCTGTCCTCCATCTCATGGATATAGAGATCACCTTCTCATGATCCGCTACCTCTCTCACTGCTCGCCGGAGGCTCGCTATATCACTAACGTTTTCAGTTTTCTATGGTTGACGCCCGAAAGACTGTAATACGCGAACTATGAAGAGATGGTGTATACCCCGCCAGTACAAGCCGTTCTTACTATCATTTCGCCAGAGCTGTTCATCCACCGATGCCCATGGACCACTTTATAGCGCATGTGAAAAATTCTATTGGTCGAGTCTCCCTGCGTTAAACTCGCCCGTGTCCGCATGGCTATGGATAGCAATATACGCATACACCCCTCCTTACATGCTAACGCAACACGACCTGCCCCACATCGCAGCAGCAAGGGCATCTAATAAGAGGGACATTTATGCCGATTCTCCTATTCGATTGTAGCTTCATACTGTGGACATTCACATCGCTTTAATTGTTCAAAAAGGTGCCACCTTCACTGTTTATCTCCAGTCTAGTTGCTCCTGCAGGCTATCACAGCCCCTGTCTCTTGTCACCAAGCTACTCAAACGCTCGTTGGGAAATCCACATACCAGACCTATCTCTGAGATGTCAACCGCCTAGCGAATTCGACGTCGACCGACCTTCTGTCCCGACAAAGACAGAAGAACTACAAGCATGGTATCTGTCTCCTGACGCAATAGGATTCCGCAAGTACGGGGATGTTCATCTGAGGCGCTAAACCAATAGAGAACGCGCAGGACGCGTCTTAAAACCCGAGAAGTAAGTAGCATTTTACCATTCCGTGTCCTTCGAAAAAAGGAATAGCAGTGCGCAGTAGACCTTTGAACAGACTGGATCTGCGAAATCACTGCGATTGCGATTGACACGAGAGCCATGCAATGTTAGACAGGGGAGCCGCGAGAGCGTTCTAGCTGCTTACATATCGGCCTTCTGATGACGATTGAATAGTACATCATCATACCGCCCACTGTGATCTGACGATTTACGCGTCTGGGAAAACGGATGGGTGTTAAGACAGGAGGGTGGGCTGAATAGACAAGCAGAGTTTCGGCGAGGCCGTTTGACGTCGATTACGCAGGCCATGGAAACACGGTAAACCCTCCCTCTAGAGAAGTTGGTTCTTCCCGGTTTTTCTGGCTTGAAACACAGTACCGCCTTCCTGCAAACTGTTCAACAACGCTGTCAACTTGTACCATTGAATCTTAGTTTTCGCAATGATGGATCAAAGTGTGTGTGACGTGAAGCCAGCGGACCCAGCTGTAGTTCTTATAGCATAAGTTAGCATTGACTTCTGCGACTTGATTATGATAGACAGATTATAAATAAGCTAGGGGGGTGAGCATGTGGACATTATCCGCGAACGAACACGTGATCGTCTCTTAAATGTTGTCAACCACAGGGACCGTTGGATGCGCAACGCGGATCTTCAACATCCTATGGAGAAATTGCATTGGTGTTTGACGAAGGAACCGGAAGGAGTTTACATCCGGGTTTTAGGACGCGTCACTGCAGTTCTCTATAGGAGTGCTAGTGTAACATAGTGATGTCGTTATGTTACGGTAGTAACGAAGCACTCCAGTCACTGTGTTTCAGGCAGGGGGGAAGCGTGTGGGAGAGAAACTCCCTCTGGAGAGAACTTTTGGATTTCAGCCTTTACAGACCATTTACTTGAATCTATATAACCCACAAACCGGGCCCTGAGGTCCTCTGAGCAAGGCCACCTAAGGGTGCCCCGAACCAGGCTAAAGACTAAGAGGGACCGTGCCTTTGAGGTGGTGGCCCCAAGGTTTTGGAACAAACTCCCCCAGATAATAAAAACCTCGGCCTCAATAGAGATTTTTAAGGGGCAGTTAAAGACCCACCTGTTCCGACAGGCCTTTGGGTCGTCGAAGGAGGTGAGTTAGTGGCTGTCTTTTTATTGGTGTTTTATCNAAGACTAAGGGGGACCGTGCCTTTGAGGTGGTGGCCCCAAGGTTTTGGAACAAACTCCCCCAGATAATAAAAACCTCGGCCTCAATAGAGATTTTTAAGGGGCAGTTAAAGACCCACCTGTTCCGACAGGCCTTTGGGTCGTCGGAGGAGGTGAGTTAGTGGCTGTCCTTTTATTGGTGTTTTATCGTATGTATTACCTGCTGCTGTTTTATGCCTTTTATTCTACATTTGATAGTTGTACTTTGAATTGTGTCCTGTGTACTGTACTGTAAAGCACTTTGTACATCCGTGTTGAGAAGGGTGCTATATAAAGAAAGTTTTACTTACTTACTTACTTACAACAGGAAAGGGAAAACGCCCAAAAGCACAATATCTTTAAGGTGTATTTAAGCAAAGAGTGAAAAAGGAAAATTGGGGGAAAGATCAGATGTGTTCCTCTCTTGGCATGGACTTGAGAAATAACTGTCTCCCCTAGTCACCTCTCTCCTCCTGCACTTTGTGTTACTGATGTGTCTCAGTGCGTCTGCCCTCCTCCCCACATCTCAGACTGTCTCAATGCTCAGGTTCAACTAAGGCCAGCAGACACAGCTGTTTGACACATTGGGGGCTCGCAGCCATGCAGCCACGCTGAGACATGTTGCCTTAGGAGATATTTGTTGATGGATTTCCAGCCTCTGACCCTGTACCCTGCCCCTATCTGTTCCTGACCTTGATCTCTACCTGCTTGCCTCTAAGCTTATGAATCCTCGCTTCCTGAATAAATCACTGAACTGTTCCTGCCTTTTGGCACTTTTTCTTCTGCATCCACAGCTGTTTCCATTTTGATTTTCTTTTTAAAATGTTCATCGTAAAAGCAGCAATGTTAGTTCAATGCTGTAACGGTGGAGTACTCGATACGTCCCTTATTTAGATGTATTTTAGTAAAGCTTGTTTCGGAGCAAAGGCCTTCATTGCAATTGCCATCAGCCTTTAAAAAAACAGAACAAAAGCACCACTACACACCATGCTCCACAGTATTTCATTGAACGTTTTAATACTTTGTTAATGCTCTGTTTTAGGGTTCGTTTTATGGTTTATTGAATTGTTTTGTTTGCATTTGTTGTGTGTCTTGGTGTGGCTGCAATTTTAAATCTAGTGGACAATGAGGTATGATATTATCAAAAACACTCTAGTTTTTAAAACTCCCTCATCCCCAATGATAGTTGTTAATGTTATATAACAAGACATCACAATGGTCAGTATACTGTGGAGCTAAAAGGGCCCTATAAGTAGAACATTAAGCTCCCTCTATCAGTTTTAGCTATTTCCACGGTATCAAATCTAGAACAAAGGTGAGGTGAAGAGTATGTTGTAACCAGACCAAACTCTCTGATAGCTGCTTTACAACACATTAACAGTGTGGAAACAGCTTAATTAACTGTTTGTCCTGAAAAAGCTCTTTCACAAGGTTTGTACATTTCTCCCTGCTATTACTAATGAGCCTTAACTGATTTAAGCATGAAACGATAAAGAGAACCACTGTAAACTACCCATAACTTAAATCCATGACGGAGCATAATGCGTTTTTTTTTACAGGGAAATGTACTCAGTGTGAATCAATAAGGTTACAGGTCATGACATCCACACTGAAAATACACTGCTTAACTAAAAACATAAAGACATTTATATATACAATAACAACTCAACTGATCTAAAGGCAGTCATTGCAGGGTTAATATTATTCAACACATGGCATAGTGGGTAGGATCAAACTCCAAGTGTGCACACAGACTAAGTGTGTTACTGTGTTGTAACGTGCAGAACAAGCAATACAGATTTTTTTTATATCGGGAAAACTACTGCTGTATAGCATTTTTTGTGCAGATAAGATCATAATCGTAGCTGAAAATGCATTACAGCAGCAAAAAAGAAAAGCTCCCATCTCTCACCAGGTGCATCGTTGTTCGGAAACTAACATCCAGCATCATCAGCCTCCAGGGCTCCTGGATGGTTTCAGGCAGCGGGATGTACACATAGTAAGCGAGGGCCACCGTCAGGGACAGAGAGACAGCAGCTGGCAGCAGCCTCATGGTGTGTGTGTGTCTGTGTGTGTCAGCTTCAGTGTCTGCAGACTGACTGCCGGCTGCAGCTCGTCATTGCACGACAACCTGCCTCCAGAGATGGCACTAGAAATGACTGTATGGGACCCTTTAAGAAAAAACACTTCCGTATAAAATCCTTCAAAATAAAACCTTTATTGACATCCGTTTGACGTGTAGTCTGAACTAAGCCGATCAATGAATGAATGGATTGATTGCTATGTGATTGGTCATGGGCTTTAATCGATTCAGGTTTGATCTTTTTATAGCAAATATTTCGCCATAAATAAAGCATCTATGGTAGATTTTTTTTTCATTTGAATAGCCCCACGCATGATATGTGAAATAGATAGGCTATAGTTTCATTTTCCCTTTTTATAATTAAATTTACTTACATGTTATAGTAAGTAGGTAGCCGATACCACTAGCAAATATCAGCCTATAGATACTTTGTGTTTCTTCGAGATTTTTCGCTAATTAGAAAAATAAACCGGAAGACGTTTATTCTTAAAGGTCCCATGACATGTTTTTCCGGTTATTACCTATGGTTATTACCATAGGTTATTACCCGTCCCCTTGTGTGCTTTTACGCATGTAAACGGTCTGCAAAGTCACAAAGCCCTCAAAGTACACCTTGTAGCGAGTAAAACTCTAACACAGAAAAGAGCTGTCTATGCTGTCCCAGAACGCCTCGTTGGAGATTTCTCTTTTTCCATTTTTTTCTTCCTGGTCATAGTGACGTAACGGTCATAGTGACGTAATCCAGCTCACACATTCTCATCTGTTTGTCATTACTGGTGTCATTTCCTGGTTGCTATCAAACGCCATTGTAACACATAATGATGACTGATGTTCCGCTGTAACTCATCAGAACAGAGTGGGCGAGCTGACCAATCAGAGCAGGGCTCATAGGG